ATTTTAATCCTATTTTAAGGGTACGGAGTATTGGAAGCACAAATTATATTTATGAACAAGTAGTGCACATAAATAATAATGATAAAATCTCAGACATTAAGTGTAAGCTCAAAGAAGCTACTCAAACATTGCGAAGTAATATTTTGAAAAGTGATATCATACTTATTGGGTGATAGTTTGAGACCATACCAGCGCAGTGTAAATTGTGTTTCCTTGATATCTGCCAGTAGCAGAATTCTCCTTTTACTGTATTATATATACTTGAATAATTTAGACACATGTTGCATGAAGTTTAAGATTTTTGAATAAATGACCATTTTAAGGTCAACCCAGGTTTAAACCAAATGCCGTATAAGACATCCAAGAAAATAAATACTTCTTAGATAAGAAAATGGCAAGACCGTCTATTCTCCCAATATTGTAAAGTGGATCCATGGGAGTTAAGTGAACTTGAAGTTTCACAATGTGGGTTAATAATATTAAACTTGGTCTCAAGATATGCTCTCTTGAAATGTCTACATGTAATGAGTGGTATAAGTCCACTTTGCCGGCTTCTATGAAATATAGTGAAGAACATAAAGTAACCCACAAAATATATCTAGCATTATAAAATGAATGTTTTGCCTGAGATAAATTGCTAGAAAGTTACCCAAATATATGAAGAAAATGTAGTTTATATTAATTCGGCATTTGTTAATAACTAACCCCCAAAAGTTTACACGTGTAAATGAGCCAAAGTGTGCCAATATTGAAACCCCACTATAGAAATGATGTACTTGGACCCCGGAAGTGGTTCCATATGCACGTAAATCCTTGTTCAAAAACATTATGGCACATTTTCCGACATTAGGGGGAGATATAACGGCATAAGCATAAATATATTATGGTTGGAATGTCGGAAATATATCCCAGAAGGATTGAATGATATGAAAAGAGAAACGTGTAAAGTATGATAAGTAAACTGCCAAAGTGACTAAAATATGTGATTGCGAAGCTTGAGCTCAACCAATGCATGAAGCATGGTTAGACGGTCATTATGTATGTATAAAATAATACCGGTTTTTATTACAGTAATTCACTACAAGAGAATGATATAAGTTAAATGTTGCAGCTGATAATTTATATGATACAGAACATGAATTCCTCTTTTAAGGCTCATATAGAGGACTTTGATGAAACAGGAATCATAGTTATTATATTGACGTCAATGATTTATTTTTCCAAGACTATCGATTCATAATTCATAATAATAAAGTCTGGCCAGACGAAATATGATGGACCGGCAGTCCTAAAATTCTGTGAATTATGATCGATGTTTATGAACGAGAAAATATTTCATATTGGGCCTGAAGTCCCATAAATCAAGATATTGTGCACGTGGGGTGCCAATAGTTGAGATTGAATGATTTTGAGATTACATTCCTGTGATAGTTTAAAGTTCTATAAATATGGCAGTTGATGAGAAAATCGAATGTCATTGCTATAATATCAATTGTGTGTCCCTGTAGGACAATGATAAAAGGAGTATGTGCACACAACATGCAACATGAATACGAATTCCTTTATGTCTACAATAATTAGATTAAGACATTATGTCTTAAGTTATACGTAGTAGTAATTATATTTGGAATTATTCTTGAGAAAGATTTTGAATTTGATTGAATAACTGCAACAATAAGAAATGCAGTAAATTATAAGCATAGTTGGAAATATAAAAAGAGATGCTTGTGCCTAACAACAACCTGGGTGATTATAATAAGTGTTGATGACATGATTTATTTTGTAGAAGAACTATGCTTGATTAACATGACGCAAATATTATTTTATTGAACAAGGTCTTTGCACCATGTGAAATATCACTTGTGGTGAGTGCCTCCTGTAGAGGATCTAATGTGAACAATTTTCTTATGTGTTTCACATGATCATGATTAGAATTTAATTTAAACTATATCCATACAACTTCTTAACCTTTCTTGTAGAAAGAGTTGAATGAGGAAACATTATGCAATGAATTTGCAATTACTCATAAACCTTCTATTTGTTTACCTGAAATAAACATATTATTCTATGAACCAAATTGTATAAATTAAGGTATTGGAGGTTTTTTTTGCATCTAGCCAAACCTAGAAACAACACATGAGAATCTTTTGATTTGAATGATGTTTGATTATATAATAAATAAATATCTAGTCATTACATTGTGAACACCTGAAGTGTTTGTATACTAATTTGAGATCCTAGGGGGATCAAAACATTTTCCTATCAAATTTTTATAGGTGGATATTTGAGATTACTTAATTATTAAATGTTTGATGTGCATATGAGCATTAACTTGATGGTCTTGAGATACACATGGCAAAATAATGAGTTTAGACAATTGCTTGTGCTTCGAAACTCTTGAAGAGTTTAGTTGATGATGCCCATAAAATCTGTATAAATTATGATGGAGGTTTTGTACACTAAAGATTGTCATTAGCTCAAATTATATAGAGTGGATTGAGGTGAAACAATTAATTGGTCCAGAACACCATGTGTTGTCCCTTTTTCTTAGCCAAGTTTTTTCCCAAAGGGTTTTCTTGGCCAAAAATTTTAAGTTATTTTGTGGTTTTAAAGAATGAGAAAGATTCATAACGTCCGGAAGACTATTATCCTCTAGAAAGAGGTGATTATAATATTAGTTCGGGAAATAGTACCCTGAAGGTCTTAATTGGTCCTTGTGAGATCGAACAATTTATTGGTCCAGAAGACCATATGCAACTGTACTCTTTTTCCTTAACCAAGTTTTGTCCCATAGGGTTTTCTTGGTCAAAGGTTTTAACGAGGCAGTTTGTGACTTTGAAATAACATATTATGATACATAAAATTTGGAGTATTATTTTTCTCTAGAAGAGTAAATTCGAATGCAATCCAGAAGATTAGGCCCTGAAGGCCAATGACTGTACTCTTTTCCTTTACTAAGTTTTTCCCGCATGGTTTTATTAGTTAAAGGTTTTTAACGAGGCAGTCAATACAACACATCATTTTACATATATTATGTACTCTTTTCCTTGATTGGTTTTTTCCCAAAGGGTTTTTCCAACAAGGTTTTTAACGAGGCATACACACAATACCATAATTCATTTAAGAAGTTAGCAACCAGATTGGATTGAAATGGATTCAGCAAGAAGACCTGAAGTGATGCAGTCAACAGGGGGAGTATATATGAGCTGCACTCTTTTTCCCTTGACCAAGGTTTTTTTCCCACTGGGTTTTCCAAAGCAAGGTTTTTAATGAGGCAGCATTATCAAAATGTATAAAGAGAGAATTCATATTTTTCTTGTAATGTATTTTTAGCAATGTACATCCAAGGGGGAGTGTTATGTAATATGTGGATGTCCATTACTCTCCCCGGCCCATGTAATAGGTCCATTTATCTAGTAACCCTAATCCCTCCCCCCTGTATAAATATGTGTTATATGCTGATTAAGAGTAAAGTTTTTGGCCTTGTTCATAACACTTCTAAACTTATTATAGTATATGTTCATAATAATATCAACATCATTGATTAGGATGCGACTCGAACCTGCAACCTCTTCTATATGAAAGTCTAAGGGAGTGTTTGCAAACACTACTCCATAGTGCTTTTGGGCTTTTTTTGTGAAAAAAGTCAAAAAGGGTGTTTGCAAACCCAAAATTTAGATTAAATCAAAGCACTTTAAGAGCCCATTTGGTAGCACGGAAATCAGCTAATTTGGCTGATTCTGCTGAAATTTATGAAGTTCTGGCTGGAGTGGCTGCATTGGCTGATTCTGCTGCTTTAAGAAAAATATATTTTTAAAATATATTTTATAAATAATATATAGAAAAAATTATATGTAAAAATAGCTAAAATGGTTATCTACAGTAACTTCAGCCAATACAGCTAGAAAAGTAACTTCAACCTTACTTTTTCTGCTTATTACACAATTCAACGCGCAAAAGAAAAATTACGTGTTTGGTGAAAAAGTTGGCTGCTAAGCCTGATAAGCCGAAAAACAGTGTTACCAAACGGGCTCCTAAGCTAGAAGTTCAAAGCTTTTTGGTATTTTTTGTAAATAATTCAATCTTCAAGGATAGTTATTAAGTTGAAGATTTCAATTAAACCCAAACTACCCTCCCCTCCTCTCTCTCACCATCTTCCTTCCATTTTTTTTGTTTAGGCCAAGCTGATTCTCCACTCCTGTACCACTCCTCTCCGTTCCAATTCATCCGCAAAATTGTCCCCTGCTACTTCCGCAAACTGTACTCCTAAACCCTACTGGCTTACAAAAACGAGGAAAGTATCAGTTTGGTACTCGAAGTTGCATAAAAAGGGTCAAATAAATCCTTACTATCTGGCCGTCGCCTTTTGGGATGGTTTCCGGTGGAATTTTTTGATGAAATGTTTTGAGCATCTTATTCATGAAGTCTAGTTTACTCATACCAAATTTCAGCTAAAACTTCAATCGGGAAGGCATTGAAATGAATTCTTAAAGATAATTGTGTTTTTAATTGCGAAGTTATCTTCAAAAATTCATTTGAATGCCTTACTGATTGAAGTTTTAGCTGAGATTTGATATGAGTAAACTAAACTTCATGAATAATATGCTCAAAAAAAATCGTCAAAAAACTCCACCGGTAGCCGCCCCAAATGGCGACAGCGGGGCATAACCTCCTATATAAGGACTTATTTGACCCTTTTTATGCAACTTCGAATACCAAACTAACTCTTTCCTCTTACAAAAACCTTAGTCTTTAAACACGTCTGAATCCGGACAAGTAAAACCCAATTTCAAATGGCTTTTTCAATTTTGTAATTTTAATTTCTTATTCTAGCCTCTAAGATAAGAAAACTGAACTGCAATCAGGACTGTGGTACATTCATACATTTATTCGAAAAAGAAAATCACGTCAACATTAGTTTTGCAAAATGTACATACCAAATAATATTATTGAAACAAAAAATGACAAATTATATACTAGTATTAGAATATTATGGGTGTGTTCAAAATGCTTGTTAAGTACTACCTCCGTCCCACTATGTTTGGTACAATTCGGTTTACGATGCTTGACCGACCATAAAGCAAAAAGAGTCCTGTTCGCACTCAAATTTTTATTAGAAAGAAAAAATTTACATATTCAGAAACTACATTAAAAGCTTTACAAAGTCGCAAAAACCAAAATCAAATTTCATAAAAATTTGATATATAAAGTAAAAGATTAAGAGTGATTTCTGTTGACCAAATGAATAATGTCTGGGACAATCTTAGCGGGACGGAGGGAGTAGATAGTATCTCCATTAATTGACTATTATGAAAATAGTTACTTTTTACGTAATAATATGTACCGTCATGTACGAATTGACCCGTAATCTGGTCACTTGGCCAAGTCATTTCTCTTAGTCAAGTAAATTTACATGAGAAGAGGAAAAAGACACGATCTTTGTTTAAGATAATGAGATGTGTACTGGCAAAATCATTCACAGCATTGCATTTGAACTCCCCGACTATGCACAATCAGCATAAACAATAGCTGCGTTACCTCCACAGCTGCATTTATCAGCAAACAAATATAAACTAATACAATAGGTTGGTTCTTCACATGTATCGTGTTCGGTTCTTGAGACAGCAAAAAATAAACTTTCTTGGAGAAACTGATGGTCATTAAGAATCCCAGATGTGCTAATGCTTCATCAACTAAAGATCAGGAAAAGTTGTAGAGTTTCTGAACCGGCTCAGACCTCAATCACCATAGCCCAAAGGCTAGCTCACCATTTCACCACCAAGGAATCAACAGGGAAGACGAAAGGGCAACGGTCTCAAACATTCAGTTTAGGAGCCCAACCGCCAGACCAGACTACCCAGAGAAACCCACCGGAGAAGAACCCCAAACTACCAGACCAGAGTGAAGCCCCCAAAAGGATCCCAAGATAGCCGGAGCTCAGACCGTGGATGATACATGCACTCTCTCACTCTAGGACTAGGGTAACACACATGGAAGCTCATCGGTTAGAAAGAAGGATAGGTCGATCAAATAGGAGGTTTGAGAAGGAACCAGACAAGTATATGAAGGGCCACTTAAGTCACAGGCTGGGTTAAAGACAAAAGGGGACAAATGGGCTTGGACGGGTAGACAGCCCAAATAGGAGACCGGTCTATTTAATGAGGTGGACCACGGGCCAATGAGGTGGACCAATACCAACTTACAAAAGTTATGAGGAAAGGAAAATGAAATGTGAATCTTCAAAATTTTATTACCTGCCATGAAGTAGTGTGGAGACAATCACATGGAGCTGGAGCCCTGTGGTTGTGGTGGCAGCTCAGAGCTCAGCATATGATGCAGTAACACGTCCACTCGCTGGCTCCGTGTTTTTGCACTGTATGTATGTAACAACATGGCATTAAAAAATAAAATACATAATCAACAAATGCAACCATAATCGGAAATGTTCGCTCAGTCCCTAAAAAATTGCTCGGACATTTTTTTATGTAGTACTCCGTAGTATGTAATAGGTAGCTGTGAGGCAGACATACCCAACAGTGCGTGGTCGGGACTTTCCAGTTCCTGCCACCTGAAGATGAACAGTTTTCTTTTCATGATGAATGAATGAATGCACAAAGGTGAAGAAAATAAATGATAAAAGAAGTTACAAGTATTCTTCCTCTACTACTTGAATACTCAAATGAGAGAAGCAGGCTTTTACCAACCTTTGCATCCTCATCCATTGCTGAAGTCTCAAGCTCCATCTCAGCTTGGAAAACCTCCAACACGAATGCTACAATCTGAAAGGAAGGAAACGGTTCCTTTAATCATCTAACTTTTTCGTACACCATTAGTGTTTTCTGTCACATACAACTGTCATACATCCTCCGCCCCACAAACATTTGCCTTTTTTTGACTTCTTGGTCACATAAAAGTGAAATATAGCAAATTTCTGTCAGACAGAGGTAATGTATTGATGTTGACCAGGAGGACTTACTAAATTCAGTAGCCACAATACAGATATAACATAAAAGCTTATGAAGTAGGCGCAACTCCACCAAGTCCCTGTCAAATCCTTGTAGCTCTGAAATGTATAACTTTAATAAAAAATATTGAAGAGCTAAAAAAAATACTTGAGAAGCTTAGCTAGGGTGAGGATAAGCTTCACAAATCATATACTCCGTATTTTGCAAGAACCATAAATGATATAGCGTCAAACAAGTAAGTAGCAGTGTAAAAGAAAGGTTGTGTAAAAAGTACCTGCATCCAAAGGTGCCAGTTTCCCATCACCAATAAATTGAAAAGTGTGGCCATTCCATTTGGGTAGTCGTTAAAGTTGAAAAGCAAATAGCTTCTTGTGTCAAGTTAAACAAAAGTTAATGATGGATAAAATGAAGCTTTTGAGCATCATAATGAACGAATCAATAAAAATCAAGAAGTGATACTCCGTATATTTTTCCACACTCCACCTGTTCCTGTTTCTTTTGTCAACTTTCCTAATTTGGCCATCCCAAGAATGTTTACCGCTTTCCATTTAAGGAAAGGGATTTGTGGTTTATAATGTTTTCCTCTTCTTTATGCACAAATTTCAACCACACAAGTTTTACTTCCTTATTGTTTGGGTCACTGAAATTGAAAAAAAAATGGGAGGGGAGGGAGTATATAGATAGCATAGAGAAGAACTTCATTTATTTTTATCCTGAACAATGTGCATGTCTTTGTAATTTGACTTAATATGGAATACTAGTTATGAGACCTTGTAACAGTTGACAAAAAGGATACTCATTATCAGCTAGATCAGTTTCATTCAATTTGGGATTCCCAACATTCACAATCCCTCCAAAGATCTGCCAGAGATAGACTTTCAGGCTATACATAACAGGATAAAATGGAGCAATAGTACTGGGACTACTACAAAACAATGTGGACAAGACAGAAAAAGAGAGATCACTTCTTTTCTTTTTCTTTTTTCATCACCTGTAAAATGGCATGAATTTTTTTCTCAAAGATGTTCCAAAATAAACCAACTCATGTGCTCACCAAAATTGATCTCTCAAACAAATTACTTGAGTAATAAACTTTAAAAAATGTGGAATATGGTGGGGTTGGAATGTGGGAAACGGTGAAGCTTTGGAAGAATGTCAGACCTTTTTCTAGGGGAGAAAATTATTGGATCATCTTAAAAGCAAATAGTATTTTTGAATTTTTATAGAGTTTGGTTTACGGGGGAACAAGAGAGTATGCATACCTGCAAACCAAGAGAGCAATAAATGCATAAAATACAGAATACTGTCCCCAAATATGGCATAATGCTTGGTATGAGAGTCAAAAATGTGGCAATGAAGGCACGATAACTTCGAACTAGCAACAAGAGCCTTATTAATCGCAGCAACCTTGCAATAAGAAGATATCGGATCCTGTTGACAACATGAATATGGTAGCCTTAAGAGGTACATCCCACTATCCCAGTATTCAAAGCAACTACTTATAGATGATTGATTTTATGCCTATGTACCCTTTGGTAAAAATGAATAGTTAAAACTAAAATGTGAAAGTAACAGCCCAAAGCTTCTAAATTGTGAAAGGAAACTTTAACGCATGAGCTTTTATGAAATAAAGTGGCAAGTTTGATGTGTTAAGAGTGTGCACATGTGTATGGTTGAATATATGGTTCTTGTTAAATTAATCGGTGTCCCACCTCATACTTCATAAAGTACTTTACTAATCAAGGGTAAAGACTATTGCAAGAGCCCTAATCATAAAAGAAAACATAAAGAAAACATAAAAGAAAACATAAAGCTATAATCTCACAAGAATCCAATTAAAATTGAATAAGGAAATAACAAGAAATATAACAGTAAATAGGGAACTTATACTAATATTAGTAAAAAGTACTACATGTGTCCAGTTTGAAGGTTCCAATTCGAAAGTTGCACGCTTTATCAGGCAATCATTAAATATGGTAGTTGAATATAGTTTGAGAAGTGGTTTGTGTGGGTACATAATATAATGGGGTAATTGATGATAATGGTGTTGTTATGGGTGTACTAATTTTAATATGTGATGATAAAGTTGTTAAAGAGAGTTGATTATTTCCTAAAATGGAAATGAGAACCTCGATATGGGACGTCAAAAGAAGACAAGTAAGAACCTTGAAACAGGAAGGATGGAGTATTGCTAATTACTAATAAAAAAAACTATAAAAATAAAAATAATTTCGCCAAGCTTAATAGGAATGGCCTAGGAGGCTAGGATACTCATACCAGAATACCAGATTGTGAACTAGCAAGGCTAAAAAGGTTAGAGTTTTGAATTTATGATATGACTCATTAAAATGTTTCCAAATTTTAGTGTAAGTAGCTATAGTGCTCTACATATAATGACATGGCTGTAACATATAGAAAACAACCATCAAATTTAAGTTTAAAAAAGACATGTCAATTTTACTTGCCATAATGAAATGGAGAAATGAACAGATATGCCCCAAACTATATGTGACGAAAAAAATCTACCCCTCAGCTGAGGGGTATATATGTTCTCTGATATATATAGAGATATAGTTTAATGGTATACTTGTTCCCATTTTACAATTTTTGTGTTTAATTTTTCCAAAAACGTTGAGACATACTTATACATATGTTCTCTCACATATAATTTAAGGGTATATTTGTTCCTTATCCCCATTTAAAAAAAATGAAGTTAAAATATCTCTACCATTCTCCATTTGATAGAAAGGTTAGCCCATTTGGAGCAGCAAAAGTAGCAGTTTCTCCTATAACTGCACAGCAAAAAACATCCATGTCATATGTCAAAACAGCAATACAGAAGAAATATATTTAAAAGAAAATTATGATGGCTTATGCTGGCTACCCAGTACCATCATGATAACTTAATGAATAGATTATAGCTATGTTCCTTTTCATGATACAGTACACATGATTAGAAGGAAGAAATAATATGCTTGTATCCAAAGTGGTTAACCTACCTATCACCCATGTGATAATAAAATCAAAGCGATTTTGGCCATTCCTCCAATAATTTTCAAATCCGTACGTGTATATTTTTAATGCCATCTCAGCCACATACAGCCACCCTGTAGCACAAATATAGCATGGCAACTCCTAGCTTAGAAGTAATGATTCTGAACTGAACAGAGTCAGGTCACACAGGATATGTTAAGAATCAGGATCCCTTTAACTGAAATGTATGTGTGTTGCTTCAAAATAAGAAAATTGTGGAGTGCATCAACTGTGCACAGTCAGTCTTAACGAAGAATGAGAAAACAGGCCTTACCAAAAACGAACTCTATCGTCTGCCAAGAGGTTTGAACCAAACTATCCTCTATATCAAGCTGAAATGTATATGAATGGATTACCAGCACAAGTCAAGATCTATACTAATAATATAGCAAAGGAATATGCAAACATATATACATAATAATAAATGAATATGCAGAATGTCTCGTTTCACATGGTAGCTTCACTGAATTTCTAGAAATGAGATTGCTTAATTCAGAATAGCATACACATATTTATTACATATTTTCTCCCAACAGCTTTAGATTTTGAAAAAATCCTATGCTGGTTGACGGGACAATCTATGAAAAAAGTTAGCCAATTATGAAACAACTGCATATTCTCATAAATAACAAAGGGAAAATTTGCTTATGAAGAGAAATGTTCTTAATGACAATCTCAGCCTATCTTTTTTTTTATCTCAGCCTATCTTTTTATTACAAAGCTTTAGGTTTGAAACACTTCTACTCTGGTTGATAGGATATTCTGAAAAAAGTTAAGCAATTATGAAACAATGGATACCCAGAGCAAGAACAAAGGGAATTCAAGTGTGATAAAGGGATCATATTTTCAATGACAGTCTAAGCCTATCTTTTTTAAAACAAGTTGATAGCTGATAAGTCAGGTGATAGCCAAGTATGAGTTCATAGCCAAAAAACTAGGTGATCTAATTATTGGTGTTTGACAAATATAATTTATAGATTCAGCTTAGAAATGCACAAAAGATACAAAAAAAAGCTACTTGAAATACTTTTAAAATAACAAATAGATTGAAATTGAATTAAAAATGATAAACTTAAGGACAATAGTAGAGTAATGTAGTTGATGAGAATATTTTGTGGTTATTGTTACCAGCCAAAATTCAATTTAGAACATAGAAATGAAGAAGTAAATGCTTTGAAATACTTCAGGAATCAAATGTACATGGGTTGTTGGATCATACCGTGGTCTCAATTACAACAGCAACAAAATTGATGACAAGAATCAACACTATTACGTATTCAAACTTTGAACTTCTAACAAATTCCCTTAACTTCTCTGATGTTGGTGAATGGTAGATTGGAAACCTTTCAAAACATGGTGACTGTAGCAAAGAATGAAAGGTGGAGTTTTGTAGAGATTAACACATAAAAGGAATTTCCTATACTCTTTTAGCCTCAGTTGAATCAGAAAATCCAACTCACAGAATCTCCCTTCTGAAACTTTAGTGCGATAGCGTTGGTTAGATCAGCAAATTCACTCAAATCAATCTGAAGGAAATGATTATGAATAGTGAGGTTGAAGCACAATTGCCAACAAAACAGCAGTGGTATATGTCATAAGCTCATTCAGACTTTCATTTAAAACAAGTTAATTGTAGTATGTAGATCTTCACAGATTCCAATGTTATATTTTTTTTGTTTTTTTTTACTCCAGGGGGGGTCTGGGGGGAGGGGGCTGGGGGACCTGGAGTAATCAGGGCTGGAACTCACTCCATTGAGTTTCCAACCCTTATGTGCCTAGCGGGTTTCGAACTCGAGACCTCTCACCAGGCACGGTAACCTCACAACCAGCTGGGCTGGAATGCTTGGTTGATTCCAATGTTATATAAACAAGTATTTATCCTTACTAAAGGAAGAGGACACAATTGGAAATATGTGTAGAGTACATATACAGAAGAAATGCCAATGGCTTCAAATTGTGTAACTAAAACCAATTGACACACATACAAACCATATAATTAACAAATAAAAGTAATAAAAGCACCTCAACCACCAAGAACAAATACAATAAATGAATATTGGCAGTACCTTGAAGTCACGAGTATCATCTAGCTCATCAAATATTAGCTCAAAATCCTCTCTTGATATATTTGGCAGTGTCCTAGAATAGAGAAGACATCATTCTGAAATTCAGTCTACATTCTGAAATACTAGAATTGTAGAGCACAAAAAGCTCCCAAAAAATAGCAATGCAAGAATATCCACCGTTGGGAATAGATATATGCAAGTAGAGGCACATGATCTAAAGGAAAGAAGTGCAACTAACAAATCTAAATGATAAATTGTGGAATGATTGTGAAAAATGAGAGAGAAAACTAAACTTCACTAGCTTATAATCTTTCCACAGTCAAAATCATTTGCCTATATGAATGGTAAAAATGTATTTTTGCAATGATATCAGCATGTGTTAGTTCATCAATTTGATTATTGGAATGTATGTCAAATAACTGCAGAGGTGCATAGAAGTATGAACATACCTGTAATTGTTCAGTTCCTCAAATAGACAGATGCATTGTTCTTTGTTGAGAAAACCAGAGTTCTATTGTTGCAAAGTAAATATTAAAAATGTCCATCGAAAATTTCAAGGAGAAAGTCAAAGGGCTAGAGGGGCAAGTACTTCTCGTGATCAACATAAATGCTCTGGAAACAAGTTTGCAAATATTTTTTAAACTACACTAATAATAAATTAATAATGCAATACATTTAGTGACTTTATCGCTAACAAATTATGCAAAATCCCCAACATTTATAGTATGTTTACCCTGGTCTAGGAGTGGGCAAAAGAATCATTTGGTCAAGATTGTTCATCTATGAGATAAAGGAAAGGAAAGCCTCACAGAGCATGTCAGAAAGCATTAAATAAAACATACAACATGAATAGTGACTCACATATTTATCAATCAAACTAAATGCTTTCTTCAATATCCTTAGCCTCAGGCGATCCTTCTCAGCAACTTGTTTCACAAGCTACAACAGCAGAAAATTTACCCGTTACATTAAAGAAATGGAGTTAAGCTTACAGTTAGATGTAGGAAGAAATTAATATAGTTTATCAGTATACAAGTTGTTGCAATGTGAGTAGCATAAGAGAGGATAGGAGATTATACCTCACTCTTGAAAGAATCGTATACAACGGCAAGGATCAAGTTGGTGACAAAGTACACACCCAATAGCACATATAGAACAAAAAACAGACAATACCATCGTGAGTCCCTAAAAAGAAAAAAACACAGTGAAATTTCATTATAGAAGTAATAAGTGATTGCCAATGAACGAAATACTGCAACAGTGAAAATTACTAGCTAAGTGTGTACAAAATTCAAGAACTTACTTGTATGCTGCAATCCATGCATCTGGGTTGTTAGAAGTGGTAAATAAAATAAACATTTGATACAATGTTGTGCCATATGAAGTAAATATGGTCTTCCCCTGTAGGGTGTCCTCAAAGATAACATATCCTAACCAGCTAGAGAACAGAAGAAATAGAAGTGAGAGAATCTGCAAAATAGAAAGAAGATAAGGTGATGAAAGTGCAAACGTGGAGTCATGGAGATGGAAAAAAAACAATTGTTCTTGAGTTCAACCAAGAATTATATGATGGCCCAGTTGAAAAAAAATCAACTCGTTATCCATTGTAATCCTCAAGTGCTTGTGTGAGTTTGACTATGGTTAGCATGCAATACCTAATTATTGATCTGAATATTATAGCTGCAGACATACCATGACATTAAGATAGGTACGAGACATTCCAGCAAGGATGTAGATGCTTTCCCTCAACTCCCTGGATTCAAGAAAAAATATTTAGCAACAGACCAGTTTGGCATTATGGATATAGATTTTATTCAGTTATTCAGTCATACACTTACAAACTCAAAATCAATTATTTAAAACCGGAGCATGCCAAAATTAGTATAAAATTAAATCAAATTATCCCCATTATGGGGTAGCAAAGGGTAAATAAAGTGTGCAGATCATGTTAAACCCCAATTTACAGCTTTCTACTGTTCACAGTATTCAGTGAAGCAACAAGTCCAATTCTCTACGTTAGTTTTTTTCATTTCCTATCCAAGACACATTTATAATAGCATGTAATTATATATTATTTTAGTCAACATTTGGCAGTGAATAATAAACAATTGTGATGTCATGTGAAACTTTGGCACATTGGACATATTACAGTCATACCTGATATTCAAAACGAAAAAGGCAACACGTAGATATGGTGCAGCCCTGAATGGAAGATAATATAGTCCCGCTGAAGCCAAAACATATGCCAACAGGTCCGCAGTTAAAACTAACAACAATGTGACCTAAAATTCAAGGTGAGAGTAGCTTTAGAGATTTAAATATTATAACACAGGAATGAGCATTAATTGAAAAAGAATTTAGGTGAGTGGAAAAAGATGATATAGCCCCTTGGTGAACGGTGAGAACCAGATACATGCATCATGATCAGTTACACTTATATGACACAAAACACCATGATGTAGAAGAGTAGAATGAACTACCTTCAGCCTATTGGTGACACTTATCCAGTAGATCTGGATGCCTTCATATGACATTGGATACAAAGTATGAGTCATGAGCACTACAAGAGTAAAAACCTGCAAAGATTAAAGAGAAATAGACAGAGAGAGAGAGAGAGAGAGATCAGTTATCGTGTGAAAAATGATTAGTATGAAACTTTTAGTTAAATACTGCCATTACTATAAAGTTACGTCGTTCAGAAAAGAAAATTACTATTGGAGACAATTACATAATGATATGAGTGAAAGAATTTCTCATGTTGAGGTTGCTTGTAAGGAAATCCATAAGTGAAAGAAACTTAGTGGCTTAGAATATGAGTGAAAGAATCTCGCAAGTTGAGGTTGCTTGTAAGGAAATCCATAAGTGAAAGAAACACAGTGGCTTAGAATATGTATATTCATCTCTTTTATATTATCTTTTTTTATAATAGCTTATCTTTTTTATCTTTATTTTCTTTCTTTTCCTTTGGTGATATCATGTATTGATTCATGTTAGCCGACCCCAATATCGTTTGGGACTAAGGCTTGGATGTTGTTGTTGTTGTAGACCACTCCCAAGATTCGAACCCGTGACCTCTTAGAGTCTTAGTCACAGAGCAACATCTTAACCAAAGTGTCAAGGCTCCCCTTCAAATAATAGACGATCAGTAACGTTACATAAATTTCCTTATTTAATTAAGCAATTTACATTTTTACACATGTTACTGAACAGTAATGGTGAATCTGGTCCAAAGCTAGTAATCAAAATTTCCCCTCAACCTATGAATACATAAATAAATCAAGTCCGCGACATAAAAGTGAAAATATATATACATAAAAAAGGGCATAAAAAAGGGCAGCCTCATGCACATTAGTGTCCCACAAGGCGAGGGTACAGCCGTCTAAGGAAGGGTAGGTGTATAGGGGCAAACCTTCCCTTGTCAAAATTTGACTAGAGGCCGCTTCAGCCGCTACCAACTTAAACCCACGACCTCCCGGTCACACAGCAACAACTTAACTCATGCGCCGAGAATCCCATTCACTATAGTGAAATATATCCATGATTACAATAATGGACAACAAACCAGTCACCTATATGGTTCTGACCTCATATACTAGAGCCTCAGTTCTTGTCAAGTACACAAGCTGCCCTAGAAAGTAGAATTCTCTATCAGTACAACTGTACAAGAATGCAATGACTGCTTGGAGCACCACAAAGGTTTCTGAAATTAAGCCAACAACAACCATGTAATTCAAGAGACTTGGACCATTCAATAAGCAGAGTACAAAATTTATCTTTTATTTATTGCATGCAACCGGAAAGGAAAAAGCGAAAACAAAGATTTTTTTTTAAATGTTATAGAGTAGCTATTTGTACCTCAAGAAAGTTCAGGACGATTAAAGCAAAATAGTTTACGGACCACAACAGATCAAATTTTGTAAAAGTGAAGTATAGTTTTGCAGCAGTTGAAAATTTTGATTGCTCAAGGATCTCCTCAGGTATACCAACTCCATCTTCAGCCTGCATAGTGAATGAAAGGAAAGATCAGAACTTTAGTAGTTTAGTGTTTACTAATTTCCACTATACAGATTTTCAGAATAAGAAAAGCAGTATAGATTGATGATGAGGAAAGGTGTGCAGAGTACAAGATCAACGAGAGCAGCGGCCATCTGATAAGAGGAGCCGTACACAATAGCATCAGAGCGACGGTTGAAGGCGCCTCTCCGGTTGAGCTTGCGTGAGTTGGAATCGCCTCCGGCGGCGTCTTCGCTCAGCAGCGCTGCCGCTTCCATCTTCCTCTGTCGCAATTTTAAAATTAAGTCGGAGCAGCAGCAGCAGTCAAGATATCCTAATCTGGCATGTAATTCAGACAAAAATTGTCGCTTCTGGATTTAGTTCGGTGTGATACGGATTTTAGTACTTTATACACGAATATTAACACACTGCAGAGGTCACTGTTCAAGCACAAAGAAAGGAAGCTTTGTGCTTCCCATCTGTCAGTGAAGATTCTTTATTTAAGCCTATTTTATATACCTTCGTCCCCTAAGTTTGGGACAAAAGAAGGTGACACGGTTATTAATAAAAGTGGGTTTATATGATTGATATTGAATTGATAAAGTAAGAATAAAGTAAGAATCATTTAGAACCATACAAACTTTACCAGATAAGGTATGAGACAATCTTAGTAGGACGGATCGAAAAGGTAAAATGGGATAATCATAGTGGGACGGAGGGAGTATCAAAAATACTACTACCTCCGTGCCGCTAGAAGGTTCAAAACGGCACGGTTATTTAGGTGATAATTAAATAAAATACTTCGGACATATTTTGACAAACAATTTTAATAAATACGTAGTATATATTATAATGTGTTAGTATTGATAATTGTGATGTTATAAATGTATTATTTTTAATATTTAATGACTAATTTGTCATTTAAGATTGTTAATTATTTCTTAAAATGGAAATGAGAACCTTCTAATGCGACGTCAAAAAAGGAAAGTGGAAACCTTCTAACGGAATGGAGGGAGTATTTGTATGCGGCAAGTTGTAGAAAGTATTTTACATGCTAGTCAAATTGTTCATAGGTAAAATGTCCATCGTATTGTCTAGAGGCCCTAGAATAGAAATGATGATAAAAACAACTCGTCAACCATAATATAGATCCCAAATTAATGATGACAAAATATTTAAGCTTGAAATTTTAAAAAATTTTATAGGATTATTCTTCTTGTACACAAAATTTACACACAAATTTTACACAATCTATGTAATTAGGAGTGTATACATTTTGTGTATGCAATTATACACAAATTTTATAAGGAAATTGCAGACAATTATTGTTTTTATACACGAATTGTTTGTTTACATATGTAATTAGGAGTGTATACAATTTTGTGTGCAAGTGTATTTTTTCAATTTGATAACACATTCAAATTTCATCGCTTGTTATTCTAGATATCAAAAAATGAATAAAATCGGAATGAAAAAGCTACTCCCTCCGCACCGTAATTAAATTCCTATTTTCCTTTTTGGGATGGTCCATATTAAAGTTCCTACTTCAAACGTTTCCTTATTTGGCAAATGATATACACCAAAACAGTGTCAAAACAGTGTCAAATAGTGTTCAAACAGTGAACTCCACAGTAAAGTCAATTTACTTTCTTAATATGTGTGAAGTCAAATCAGGGATTTAATTAAGAACCGGAAGGAGTATAATATAAGTGAACGACCCTAGCTCACAAAATACAAATAATAAACGGACTTGACTAACATCATTAGCGACTACGTTATCCACTATTGTTAATAGTGACTAAAATAAAATCACTTGTGACCATGGTAGTCAAAATTTCGCGATCCGGCACGATCCACGTAAGCTATATTGTAAGCTATATTAGTATGATTAATACGTGTAAGCTATATATCCAATATCTAATTAAAACTATTTCTACAATATTATAAGAGGGATATTGTCAGGGGTTAAACTGTGATAAAAAAGATATCGGTGTCTCTTCATGCATAATGTCATTGCACTTTATACTTGCTTTGTTGTACACTGTTAACATGCTAGCAGCTTCCGTTACTAACGGAAATGATTTCAACCTTATACCCTTACGGAGGATATAACCTGTTCGCAGCTTCCACATTCAATTTACAGATTCTCAGATTCTCCGCTCAAAGGTCAGACTAACAATATGGTAAAAATCATTTCTAGGGTTTTGAGAGTCAAGACTAACCTAGAGACTGTGTGGTATTGCCTCTTGTGCCACTGTCTTGAATAGACTAAGACAATAGTAGAGCTGTATATCGATACTATGGTTTTAATGTAACAATTCATCATGATGTTAATTATTTAGAATATTTACCATGTAAGAGATCACTCCAGTCCAACTGAAGAATGAAAAGCGTTTTGTAATTAGGGAGAAAAGAATTGGTTTATTTTGTTTGATACGTAGTAGTTTATTATTTTTTACTTTTGTTTTAGATAAATAAGTCTGCGTGGTGGCTAGATTTAAGGTTCTATAGTAAAGGATTTGGATTGTATCTCTCAAATGAAATACTCCCTCTATCCCTAAAACAGAGTTCAGGTTTAAGAAGTATTTTTATCCCAAAAAGTCCTATCTTCAAGTCGACTTTAATCTTTACTCAAGATCCTAAAGCCAATCTGCATGTGTTTTAGGGTGTTTTTACTTGGACTGTAATTTGCCCCAGACCAGACCAGACCAGACCAGTTCAGACCAGACCAGACCAGACTTGGATAGTTATAAAAATAAAATGAAACCAGACCTTACCAGACCAGACCAGACCAGTTCAGACCAGACCAGATCAGACCAGACCAGACCAGACCAGACCAGCAAATTACAGTCCAAGTAAAAACATCCTTAGTCAATTACTTAATGTTATGAGTATGATTCACCATCATAATTTGTAAATGCTTATACTTTGATTGAACCGACCAATTGTGGCAAGTTATACCTTACTGAAATGAAACATGAGTTCTTATGAGATGGAAGTAGCAAAGTGGTACATGTAAATGACCCTTAACATATGGCTAAAAGGAAGGAAAATTTTCTGAAGATGTATGAAATTGTATTACATATCCTTATCATTGAATGACCATTGAAGAAAAAATGTAGCTGGTGAGTAATTTTTGCAGATCATTTTCTATATGTAATCTATTTGTACTTACATAGTTATGTTTCTTTGAGATGTCTTTTTGTACCAATTCTTTTTTATTATTATTCGTTGACCCGTGGTTGACTTCATTGTATAAAGAGCATATCTGGAGTTAATAGGAAGGCAAATTTTATGAAACTATGTAAACATGCTTAATATATAGTTATACCTTAATTAAGAATGTTCCAAATCATTTTGCTTCACTTTTTTTTCTTTTATTTAGTTTTTATTTTGTTAGTTTATTTTCTAAAGAGGCCTACCCCTAAGGTATAAAGAAGGAACTTAAGTGAAAAGAGACCGGTTAAAACCAAGACTCACAATCACACATATTCCTTATGCATCCAAATTCATCAAATTCAATTAGGAAAGACCACCATTCTAACTCAAGAACTTAGTCCTTTTTTCAAGTGGGATAAGATAGATTCAGATATAACTAATACATGTGATCGAATTCATTAAACACTCAATTAGTATCGTTGTCAATTTTTCACCTTTTAGAGACTAATTTAAGCTTCTATGTACTTGTCACTTTTTTCCGCTACTTCCATGACTACAACTGTTTCCTAGAACTCTTGCTTTAATTTTCTCCATGCACTACTACCCAACAAATATTTGACCATTTTTTTAACCAAAACATTTTTGTGTTTGTTATGTGTCTTTTCATACAACACAAATGCATGCTACTTTTTCATGAGAACCTTACTCCTACAATTAGGTTTGTTATAGTCATATTGGCTGCTTTATTTTAATTCCCACATATAATCTAACCCATACATACTTTATTGTTTATGATTCCTTATCAATAAATAACAAACTATGTATGCAAATATTGTATTCATATTACTCATATATTCATTCAACATAAATTGAGGAATTAATATCCCTACAATCACCTTGGGCATTACCACGAACGCGCAATGCGCGTTACTAAACTAGTATGTATATGCGCGTGTATTTATGTGTGTGTATACATATATGTATCCATTTGTAGGATCTCACGATCCTACGATTTATGATCTTTAGGTCCCCTTCCGATCCTACGTAGGATCTCGAGTTTGACTACCTTGCTTGTGACTGCCCAACCTTTGCATTTCTTCAATTCCAACTAGTATAGTACCCGTACAATGCACGAGATGATATTGTTCTTAGAATATTTAAAATCAACATAACTCTAATTAGAGGCGTAGTTTGGAGTGATGGTCCGGCTGAACCGGTACAAATACTTTTTGCAAATTAATGTTTACACTAAAAATACAAATAATTTTCAAAATTGGGATCGGCCGGAGCCCGGTTGGCCCCTCTCAACTGCCACCCTATGTCTATTAGATAGAGTTCCTTCTTAAATGTTACTGCCATAAACTTATGGATAAAAATATGACTAAAGTTATTATGAATGATTCATTATAGTATAAACAGACACATTATTATAGACACTAAAGTTACTATTTTATATGTATAGTCATATATTTGTCTTTTTTTATATATATTTATATAGTCATATATTTGTCATTAATGGATAAATAATATGGTACAACAAAAAAACGTAAATCACAATAATCAATACGGAGTAGTTTTAAGAATTCATAAATATAATATTTCTTTGTAACATTATTATTTGTATAGCATAAAAAAAAAAATCAAATTACGCGATCACTCTAAAGAGTAACATGTAGAGGTAAGCAACATACAATTGACAATCAATAGTCTTTTGCATGCTTCACAGAGTAAGTTCAAGGTTTCTTGTAAATCCAACTATGAATTAGGTAATTGAGCATTCGATTTAAACCTATATGCATTTGTATCGAAACTGGCATTTTACTGTTTTTTAGGATTAACCTTCTTTGTCAGATGGTCTAGGTGAATCAAATCTAGCTCTCATCAAATGTTAGCTCCCTTTATATTTTGTTTAATTTCCTCCAACAAATTATGAAAAACGTTATTGACATTGCCGCTCTTTCAGTTTTTCTCCTTATGATTTTATATCAACCAAATCTTTTTAATGTTAGGCTAAAAACAGGTTAGTTGAGTAAAATTAAAATTTGTTGGAAAATTGGTCAAATAAACATTTTTACTATTTTAAATCCGTCACTTAAACTCATGTATTAAAAAAAGTACTCCCTCCCTCCGTAATAAGTGTTTCATTTTCCTTTTTGGATCGTATCAAAATAAGTGTCTCACTTTAACTTTTGAAAATAAACCAATCCTAAAAGCAACTACAATACACTTTATAAAGTAAACAATATTGCTATAGTACCAAAAAATCTTCTACAATGAAGTATTCAAATTAATAACATCACAGAATAATTCTTTAATAGCTAA